AATCAGTAAAGATATATTTAAAAATAAAAAAATAAATTAGAATAAAATAAAATAAAAGGACATAGTATATCAGTTGGTGAAATAGGAGCATTTTCAGATGAACAAACTCAGATGCCCCAGGTCACACAGCCAGGAAACTTTAGTAAAGATAAATACTTAGTGCCCTGGCTGGTGTGACTCAGTTGGTTGAGCATTGTCTCATGCACCAAAAGGTCACCGGTTCAATTCCCGGTCAATGCCTGGTTTACAGGCTCAGTCCCCTGCCGGGGTGCATGTGGGAGGCAACCGATCAATGTTTCTCTCTCACCTTGATGTTTCTCTCTCCCCTTTCCTCTCTCTCTAAAATCAATAAAAACTGATTTTTTTTTTAAAAAAAGAAATACTTAGTAATAGTAAAGTGTAAGGAGAGCTGAGTGGTAGCCTCATAACGTTCCAAGGTCTGGGGTCAAAAGTTTTACAGAAATTTCAATTTGCCTGAGTTGCGTCCATACTGTGAACCCTGAGCAGGGGCAAAGGCACCTGCTAAATAGAGCTCCTGGTGGTTAACTGGGCTCAAATACAGAAGCAGAGCTTAGTAGCGATTTCTGCATAAGGTCCTTTCACACAAACCGCACTTCCCGGAGAGGCCTCTGCACGAAGCTGCCTGCTGTGCTTCTACCATCGAAGGTGGTCCGTATACAGGAGCTGCTGGGGTCCCATTTCAGCCAATGGGGCTGAGAGTCCCCCACCCCCGTGCAGCTCAGGCCAATCAGAGCGGGGCTATTCTGACCACACAGAGCAGTGCCTTTGGACCAACCAAACTGTGACGACCCAGAGTCCTCATTTGCATGAGGACTTCTGTCACTACAAGCCAGCTGTCCTTTGGCTCAGAAAGCGCACTTTCCACTGAAGACCGTTTCCCCAGCCAGAGCTGAAATATCAGCGAGATCGCCCGAGCAGACCCTCTGGGAGCAGAACAGAGCCGGGCAGAGCTGCCTAGCTGGAGAGGGACCTGGCCCCCAGGCCACAGGCCCTTGGGGGCAGCCTCACAGCCATGGCTACATCGCTGTTGAGCTGTTTGCACTGAATAAAGTTTCCGTCTTCACCACGCCCCAAACTGGGGACTCCTCTTGGCGATAAATTGGTACCAATGACCATCAGTTAACAATACCAAGAACCCAGGAGCCTAAAATTAAACCAGCAAGCTAATTGTCTAATTTACGGTGAGAACTCTAGATGCCAATGGGTCATTTTTTTTGGGGGGGGTGGGTATTTTTTATGTAAATGTATTCTTACTCGGTTGGAAAACCTAATATTAATCAGAAGTATTGGTGAGTACATGACTTGGGAAAAAGTGTGGCTACTTGTAAGATTCTTTTGTTGTTGTTATTTATTTTAAGACAGACAATACACATACATGGCAAAGGTACAAAGTGTACAAAAATTTTAAAATGAGAAGTCAATCTTCCTTTCATCCCTTGTGCCCATCCCCAGAACCCCTGTTCTCTTGGAAGATCTTAATGACCAGAGTGTCTGTATTAGTTTCCTGTTGTTGCTGGAACAAATTACCAGAAACAAAGTGGCTTAAAACAACACAGATTTATTATCTTACAGTTCTGGAGGTCAGAAGTCCTAAAATCAAGGCATTGGCAGGGTTGAATTACTTCCCTGTTCTCTAGGGCAGAGTCTGTTTCCTTGCCTTCTCCAGCTCCTAGAGGCCACGTGCATTCCTTGGCTTGAGGCCCCTTCCTCCCTCTTCAAAGCCGGCAACGTGGCACGTTCAGATCTCTCTCCCTCTGGCCTCGTCTTCCATCATCACATACCCTGACTTGGACATTTTTGCCTACCCCTTAGAAGGATCTTTGTGATCCATTGGGCTCAGTAGCTAATCCAAGACAAACCTTTCCCTCTCAAGATCCTTGGCTTAATCACATTGCAAAGTCTCTTTTGCCACATAAGAAAACATATTCACAAATTCTGAAGATCAGGTCGTGGACACTTGGGTGTCATTCTGCCTATCATGGTCTCCCAACTGTTGGAGAGACAAATGGCGCTTTTTCCTTCTAGACCAGATTAATAATGTATTCTTATTAACAAGTAGAAACATTTATTGATAATTTGTTTACACACACTTCCATATTCATATATACATTTTGAAATATACCCCTCCCAGATGAATGTTTAAAGGGTAAAATTTAAATAGATATCAAATGGACACTCTCATTTCCTCCGTACCCAGTGGCTGGCCTTGCACCCTCATGGTCAGCACCAAGCCCTCTTTGGAGACCACTGTGTGGGCCCATCCCTTTTTCTAGACCCAGGACAATGACTTATTGTACTGAACATTTCCTCTTGCATGCATGTTGAATACCGTGCTTTGTACTTGGTACAACTGTGCTGGAACAAATTGAACCAGGTGGCTGAAAAGGACAGGAATCTGTTCTCTCATAGTTCTGGAGGCTAGAAGCCCGAAATCAAGGGGTCAGCAGGGCCTTGCTCTCTCTGAAAGCTCAAGAGGAATATCTTTCCCTGCCTCTCCCAGCTTCCGGTGCCCCAGGAACCCCTTGGTTTATGGCAACATCACTCCAGTCTCTGCCTTCATCTTCATGTGGCCTTCTCTGTGTCTCTCTCTGTGATGTCTTCTCTTCTTGTAAGGACACCAGCCATTGCGTCCAGGGCCTATCCTAAATCTAGGATGATTTCACCTCAAGATCCTTACCTAGTTACATCTGCAATGACCCTGTTTCTAAATATGGTCACAATCAGGTTCTAGTGGACCTGATTTTTGGGGAAACAATATTCAAACCGCTATAAGTCCCCTGTCGCGGAATTGTTTTTCTTGCAGATAACAACACAAAAACCAATAGTCTCGACTCGTCTTACCCACATCCCCTAGCCCTTCGCATCACTACACTTCACAAGGAAAAAAAAATCCCTGATTTGTGTTTCTTGTTGCTGTTTTGTGTCCTACCCTGTGGACCTTGTAGTGCTTCCCACTGAGGCTTTGGGCATTTTTTTTTTTTTTTTTTAAA